CCAGGTGCTGCTGCCAGCCAATAATTCACCTGCCGCTGATGGGCAACGCTTAGCAGCCTAACGAGGCGTTACTCTGCTCCGGCCAACAACAAAAGCACTTGACACCTGCCCATTGGGCGGAGATGGGGTGGTGTAGGGTTGGAGACCATCGAAAGTGAAGCCCAGTGGAGACCCACATAGCCATTGAATGGGCTAGACCATAAAAGAATTTTGAGAATCCCCCAATGAAATTGATACGCTCAAGCACTTCGCCTTTCTGTTGATTGGACGGGTGTACTCTCAATTGGGCATGAAAGTTGGCCTTCACGTTTTGGCAGGGGAAATCAGAAAGTTTGGCAACAGAGTGCATGAATGCAAAGTGTATTTGGAATCAATCAAATATCATTACTAGAACCGAATTAGTTACTTAAAGGAACCTGAAGACAGACCTTAAAAGGAGCAGCTAGAACTTTGGAATAATATTCAGGAACACTAAACATAAATTAAGCATTTACTTAAATGCATCCTGCGAACGTAAGCCTATCAGCGAAAAAGTATTCAATTAAAACTTGTTAGCAGTACGCACCACACAATCTTTATGTTAAGACTTCTATTCATTAAATTATCATTATCAAAATGAAAGTTTGTGTTCGGTTTTTTCTTAACTCGTTTGTTAGTGCGTGCGATGGGCAATGGGCACGTAACTGCTGGCCATCAATAAAATTGTCAAATTGGCAAAAATAAAACGAAATAAGCAGAGAAGAGAAGATAAGTCGTGCATAGAATGCGCAAATAAGAAATTTGAACTTTTATTTTGTGTGGGTGTGAGTGAGGAGCAATTAAATGCAAATTTCTCCATCAGCCATCGCTGGTCATTTCCCTCTGTCCCCCTTTCTCCTCCCTTCCTCTATCTTTCTCTGTTTCGCTCTATCTCTCTCCCTTTCTCTCTGTCTCGCTCTCGCACCCACTTGTTTGTGGGCTAAGTCGAAAGACTCAGGCAACGAACTCAAATGATTAGGGCCAGTCGCAGGTCGCTGGGATCAGCCAACAGTGTGTGCTAATGCCACAAATTATTGTTTTCCCGGCAGATGAAACATGTCATCTCACTGGCATTTTTTCGCTGCCTGGCTGTTGCTCCAAATGAGCTGCGATTGCTCCATTAAGGTGACACAATCAACAACGCTACCTCTGTCCAGAGCGACCTGATCCACTTCAGACTCCAACGGCGGCTCAAGTCTACTAGTGCACTTCGAAATATTGTTTTTATAAATCTTATAATTTGAAGATGTTCTTTGCCGACTTTAATACTTTTGCTGTTTTTAAATCTCATATGAAAACCAGCCAATTTGGGATTTATTTTTTGAGTGTAAGACAGCTGCCCTCTCTCCTCCTTTGTCAATTGCTTTGTTTTTCTTTTGATGGTTTTCTTTCTGTTTTTGCAATATTTATTGTTGCTACTGTCACACAGTCGCCGGTGGTTGGTGGTGCAGTGGTGCAGTGGTGCTGATGGTGCTGCTGCTGTTGGTGGTGCCTTATGTAAGCTCTGAATTCTCTTGGCTCCGCTCTGGACATCCACTTCTGCGGTTGCATTCATCATCGTCATTAGTGTCCAAAAATGAAATGATTGCAAATATCAAAAACGCAACAAAAGAGCACTCCACTTGTCAGTGTAACAAGTGGTTGGTGGGGGTGGTGGATGAGTTTGGTGGTTGGTTTGGTGCTTGAGAGGAGCAGCGGCAGGGCCTCAAGCTGGCATATACAAAAGACTAGAGTTTTACTTTCGTTTCATGTCAGGCCAGACACACAAGCACACATTTCACTAGGGGGTTTGCCTGTTGCAATTTTCCTTTTGTAATCTGAGGAAGGGGCGGGTTACCTATCCCTTGCACTGTCCATCGCCAGGTGCCACGCCCTACGCCGCTCAAATGCAGTCACTTTCTGTGGGCGCCCATTGCGCAATCATAAGCATATGCACTATCCTCAAAACCCCCTTCACAATCAGCCCTCCCTTTGAGAGCCCTCAGTTGCCACCGTTTAAAACCGAAAAGTGTGTGGTAATCTACCGGGCAAAATTATCCAAAACCACCAAAGGAGAAAAGTGGAAAAGCGGATGTTAGCCAACGCTAAATTTTTGCGAAAATTGCAAAAACTATCTCGTAAGTTATTATTATTACTATAACCGAAATGGATTACTACATTTTCCTAATGATGCAGGAAAATGTAGTAATCCATTTCATTCATTCATAAACCTCTAATTATTTTATTTTAAAATGTGTTTTTAATTTCATTTAGCATTAAAATCCGAACTTTTATATCAAGGAAAAGTACATTCCTTTTCGTACACAAGCTTTTAATAGATTACTTTTCATGATCTAAAATCAAACCAAACGCTTATTAATACCGGCAGCCACTCGAAATTAATCTTCGTTTTTTTATAATCAAATGGCCATCAAAGATTTGTAGGCCGCAAGCTGAACTAGTTTTGTATAGATTTTCGAGCTGAAAAACGGGAAAACAAATGCTTCGAAGTGGAGCACAGTGGTCTATGATTTTGCTGGGGGGTCCCAAAGCCTAAGGTTGATTTGCTAGCTGGGGAAACTGAAAACCTGGAAGGGAATATGCCCCATGGGCGATGGCAGCAGCGACTCAGAACATTAATCTCGGAAGTCTCGGCTGGAAATTAAAAATAATAAAGCACTAAATGGAAAATGAAGCGAGGCTGCGAGGAACTGTGGAAGGGGCTGCGATGGGTTGGGTTGGGTTGGGTTGGGTGGCCATGGAAATGGTTGGGCAGGAAGCAGATGCAGCAATTCGCTCTGCTTGGCTGCGTCCTAGATTCTCCCAGTTCCAGCTCTACGTTTTCCCATTTCCCAGCTTTTCCCCGAACTTGTTGCGTGTGCCTGGCTGAGTCGATTTCCTTGTTGTGGTCACTCCACACTAACCACTGGCCACTAGTAACTACTCACTAGCCACTGGTGGGCGTCGCTTAAGGAGGAGGCGGGGGGCAGCAGCACGTGGCTATGTTGCCAGCAATGACACTGGAAAAAGTACCTTTTCAAAAAAATTCCAAATATTGTTGCTTTTTCAAAATACTGAAACTCCTCAAACAAACGTAGTTAGGTGTCCCATGTTTGGCCGGCATATTGTTTGATATATGGTTTGATTTTTTCGACAGAATTGGATACAATTCCGGTTTCATTTTCATTTTCTCAGTGCATTTACAGCTTCTACTGGCTGCTGACTGGTCAAGCAAGCGGAACAATGGGCGGCTGTGGAGCCGAAGAAGAGGCTTCAAGACCAAGCCCATCGAGCATCCACATCCATATCCCAGCTGCACCACTGCCACCACCACCAGGCAGGCACTTGCTCCAGCGATTTTCTAATTAAATGTTGCCACAAGCCAACTGCCTGTTTGAATTCGATGTTAGCTAACCCGTGGGGGAAATGAGATGTTTGGCAAGATCGAACATGGATCAATCCGTGAACTCGACGCTTTGACATGGCCGAAAAATTTCAGCTGGCCCCCCGGGCAATCAATGTGACACAAATCCCAGCTTCATAGTCGTGCGAAATAGATGACAATCGAATTTGGCTGAAAAAATGTGCGAAAATGCCAGCAAAACAGAATAACATTCGCTTAAAAATTACTTACGTTATGTTGAAGTCACTAAAATTATGAACATTAATCTTCAAATAAATTGTAACAAATCTAATGATTTGCGTATGTTTTTAATACTATCTAATATATCTACAAAATGTAACTTATTTAAGCAAAATTGTTTTTCTTTTTATATATTTTATAAGGTGTAAACATTACCGATCTTTACCTATTCCATCTGGTCCATTTTTAGCTAGTCAATCGACTTTATCTGTTTTACGTAGTAGCACATCAATCGCTTTTTGCCCGGAGCACCGTGCCCGTGGTCATCTCCAGTTTCCAGATCGTGTGTGGAATGCTCGACTGCACTTTGCTCGCAACCCAATTCGATGTCACATGGCCAATGCCCCACCACACCGCACTCCGATCTTCGATCTTGGCCAGCTCACGATGATCATCATTAGCATAAGTCTGGAGCACTTTTGCATTTGGCCCACATGTGTCACATACATAAAGAGTGCGATGTGTGCGTTGGCCGGACATCATGGAATGGAGAAAAACTGGGATGCTGCAGTGCATCCCCATGAAGCTGGATTCTGTTCGCTGCCCCCATTTTCCTCACCATTTGGCTTACTTTTCGCCGCTTCGTGTGGCATGCAAATGCGGCATTGTGCAACGTTGGACATCCCAGTGCTCAACTTCCAACGTCTATTAAACGTTGAATGTTCACGTCCAGCTCCAGGTCCACAGATCCAGCAGGTTACCAAGACCAGATCCATCGAGGAATTCTTCTAAATTGGTCCACTCACACTCACAAGCGCATAGAGTTCGTGGCAGAGAGAATGGTGCACTGGAGCGATATTTCGTCGCAGATATTTATCAGAGTTATACGAAATATATTTTTTGTAATTATCGCTAGTAAGCTACTCTATTATCAATGCTTGAAATTAAATAGAATGACCAAATATAACGTTTTGAAGTTAGGACATTTACTTGTATTGCTTACATTATGTTTTTTCTACCCCAAATTAAAAGCATATCCAATCATATGTTGAAGGTCTTAAATTATGTTTTCCTAACCAGTCCCTCCATTTTTCTTTTCTGATTGCCCCAAAAGATAATAAGTTGTTGTTCTGTGATTTTTACTTAGTGCTCCGTTACAGTTGCATAACCTGTATTAGTTGTTATTACCGTTTTGGAGATGATGGCCCGAAGAACCGATTGGCTTGTCCATTGATCAGCGGGCCCTGAATTCAGCTGGGTAATGAATGGTGCTGCCGAGGGGGGGGGCACTCGACAGTTGGCAGTTGGCACTTGCCAAAAGCGCAGCAAGTGCTCACGCATGCAACTGCTTGTCCGCGGCAGCGACGCCGACGGAAGCAGCGACAGGTAAACCAGGTAGCTTACAAGCTTACAAGACGCACGGCGCGACGTCTCCAACTTTCAGTTGCTTTCGAGCTGCACAAGGCGACGGTTTAAGATTTGGCCGCTTACCGGGTGAAAAAAGAGCGAACGAACAGCTGGCCCAAGACTATCTCTAGAGAGAGAGAGAGAGGGAGAGAGAGCGAGCGAAAAGTGAAAGACCGAGAAACCAGCGAAGTATTCTTCGTGCGCGATCGCCGACTTCGAATAGCTTCAGTTGCCCTGCAGAATTCCCTGCGATCGGTTCATGCAGCGGATTATCGCGTCGCGACTTACGGTATCAATATTTGAATATATTTTTTTTAAGTTCGGTGCTCTCGTGCAGTGTGATCAAATACTTTTTTTTTTTGGTTTATTGAGTATCGAACCCACACTTCCTGGCATGTCGAGGCTGCAATTGAAACAATCCGAAACTCGTGCCAAGTGCTAAAATAACACGGAAGTGGACAAGTGTCGCCAAGCGAATTGCTAATTCCAGCGAAAAAGTACCAAAAACCCAAACAAATATTAACAAAAAAATACATTTCAACAAAATTTATAACGGACGGACAGGAGGCGTGAGCGAGACAGCAACAATGCACCGCACGCAGCCGTCGCTGCCGCTGCCTCTGCCGCTGCTGGCGTTGGCGTTGGCTTCGGCGCTGGCTTTTGCGCAGGCGCAGAATATAGGTGAGTGTGTCAAGCGAAAGACGAAAACAAGTAAGAAGTGATGCGAAAGGTGCCAGAACGACCAGCGGATACCCTGCACATTGGGGGATATAGGTTCCTTAGGAATACTTTCCACGCATATTCAAAGGCATTTCTCCTGACACTTTAATGGTTATGGGAATAACATTTGTACCCAGAATTTCCTGTCATCTCGCCTTACAGCATATTCAACGATTTTCTATTGCCATTTAGTTAGATTTGTTTAAAGCACTATGCACAATTAGTGAGCTTTGGGAAAACACCTTCGGCAATCGCCTTGACTTGTGGGAACTTTTGGGAAGTTTAGTTCTTATACAGGCTCATTTGCATAAGATATGAAATCTTAATTAGCTTAGTCTTAAGGCTTAAATCATTCTCCAAAATCTTCTGACACATAGACAATGCCATCATCACTGAACATCATTTACTTTATTTATATTGCCACTAAATTTATTGTGTTATTTTTAGTTAGGCGATTGGTGCTTCACATTTGTGTTGCATCCGAAACATAAAGCCCCCTATCGACTAGTTGTGCATGCCCCATATTAGAGGGTGTTTTTAAAACCGCACAAACGGCACACGGAGCCAAAGCAAACAAATTTTCTCTCGTTCTCGTTTGTTGTGGATCCCACTTGTTTCTGCCGCTCTGCTTCTTCTTTTTCTCCACATCTTTCTCCGCCGCCGCCTGTTGTTGTTGTTGCTGCCCATTTTCATCACCCATTTCTTGTTGCATTTTCGTGTGTGAGCGGCGCACCTTTAAAAAGCCAATGCTTTTCTGTTATTTTTTCACATTTCATTTTATACTTTGTTTTTGCGCACATTTTTTTCGGCTGATTTTTGCTTTTTTTGATTTCCGGTTCTGGTTCGAAACAAAGGCAACGCTTTATAATTTGTATTATTTTTAATTCGGCTGCCTTTGCCTTTTTCCCACGTTAATAAACGGGCGTCCAGGCTGTCGGCCAACTGGACTGTTGGCCATATTCCAGTTCCAGTTCCACACCCAGCCCACTTTTGGGTTCCAGTTTGGTTTTTTCTGCCTTCAGCACCACCGAGTCAAGTGCTCTCTTGTGCGGCAGTTAATTGTTTCGTGGGATATGCGACAAAAAAAAGGGGACCGTTGGGGGGCGTGCCACTCGCACATTTGCCAGGAAACGGATGTTTGTTTGGGTCAGCAAACAATCGACGACGAGCGTAGACAGGCAAAGCCAAATGGGGCACACGAATGACTTAGGCAACAAGCTTGCCGCATGCACGTGGCAAGTGCACTGCGAATAATAAGATATGATAAATCTAACGGGCGTAAGAATGTAGACAGCTTGGCTAAACGGAAATTGGGATAATGTACACATTCATAAGAGTTAAGTAACAAGCTCGGCTTTTGGAAAAATATATTACAAAAATTCACAAACGAGCTGTCGAAATCTAAGTTTCTTAATTTGCTTTTCCAAAACTCAAAAGACTTTGGCAACTATATAAGAGCTATACTTGAGTATCACAATAAGTATTTAAAATTCTTACCATAAGATTATGAAAACCAAAGTTATAAAATGTTTAGTTTAGTGGAACATTCTTAAAATTGTCATATTGTTCCTACTTCATGCATACACTTTTATCATTACCCTAATAACAAAGTATCAATAGTTTAACTGGGTCAAATAAGAGAAACACCTGTCACTATTACTCATATTCAATTACCTGTAACATATCGAATTGCAACAAAGAACCTAAATTGTAATGAGGAAACGAGGAGACATAAAGGCATTAACTTTTACTCAACACTTTTACCTCCAGCACCGGGCGGGAAATCTTGTAAATTAACTTAAATTAATCACAGACAGAGGCAGAACATACAGAAACTGAAATTAAAAGAAAATTTATGATCTGCGGCAGTCATTCCACAATAAAAGCGACAACAATTGCAGTTGTCTGACAAAAGAGAGAGAGAAAGAAAAATACAAGCTGATTTCAGTTAAAATCTGTAATGTTGGGAAAGTTTTATACATATACATCTGCTGCTTTCCTTCGTATTGTTGACAATAAGAAAAGTAAAAGTGCCAGGCAGCGATGGCGAATCTCTAGCTGCTGCGATGATCGAGCTTATGCCCAACATCTAATGGCCAAATGTAATATGATGAGCAATGGGCTATGGGCTATGAGCTAGGTCTTGGATGCATAGAGATGGGTAGATGGGGATGGGCATGCATGACCACCAGCTCATCATAATCATCATCAGCGGCAGATGCGGAAGCCAATGCAGCGCCTCTTAATTGCAATGCGAAACTACGAAGGAAAAGACACTCGTACTCATAGACGTACTTGTGCTCATACCTTTTGTAACTGCCTTGAAGATACCTGAAACGATACCTTTTGCCATCTGCCGATTGCTGCACAATGAACCGCAGCAATTTGTTTGTTTGAAAGGGTGGTGCACGCATGCCTGCCTCCTTTTATATTTTTATTTCTTTGCGGTTTGTGGTCGTCGTTTTTACATAAGACCTGGGCTCTCTTCGAACCACAAGGAAGTAGGAAGCTTTTCTGGAAAACCTAACACTGTGCGTGGGACAGCCAGACCTTCGAAGTCCGCAGTTTTCACTTTCAACTGAAAAAGTCATAATAATGATGATGATGATGTTGTTCATGCGGGTGACACTGCCTGCCAAATGGTTTCAAGAGTCCAACTTGAGCATGATCGACTTGAACTATTTACGCAACTGTGTTTTTTATTTTTAATTTTTTCTGTGTCTTATTTTCCTGGCACGTAGGTGGGCTGGGTATTGCGCAAAAGCTGTCAATGGCCTTGCCAAGTACCCATGCACTCGATATGTAAATCATCGCACACAGTGACGAGCATTCAAAGCCATTCGCCGCAATGCCAAACAATTGAAAAAGAAACTAAATAAATTCAGGTTACATTTTTAGTTGAACGAAATGCGTCCACAAGATTATTGGGACTTATTTCATATTGCCGAACAATTAGGAGAGGTATCTATGCTTCAGCCAGAAAACGAGAAGCAAACAGTCTTGAGATACCTCAAGGAATTAAACATAGCTATTTCCTCAAAAGACCATTTGAGCTATTCAAAAATGTATACTACAAAAAAGCCAGCTTAGATATTGCTCATTCCTATGTGTGGTGTACATATATGCGAAATCTTACACCTAATCTTGGTTGCCGAGATGTCTCTTGGCCAAATGATTTCATACATAAAACTGACGAAGAATTACTATGGAGAGGGAGTGTCTTTTTCATTATCCAAGCTGATCTGATCTCATCGCATCTCATCCCCAGACAGACCATAGATCTCATTCGTTTGTCTGGATTGTGGCATAAATTTCAATCAGTTGCGAGATGCCATTTAGCTGATTTTTTGTGGGCTGGGCCAAACGCCCCACTACTGCCGACGATTCTCAGGCGTGAGCGGTATCAGAGTATCTTTTTAATTGCCATAAACATAAATGGCATACTGCAGTTAAATATCTTTCATATATAGTATCTTGATCTCGCCGCGAAATACAGAAAATGAAAAAAAAATATACAACACCCGTGGTCTATGGGCAACTTTCGCGTTTTGTTTGCTGGCTGCGATGGTCGTGTGTGAAATTTTAATGTCGCAGTGAAATGCTCGAAAAGTGAAACTAACGTCTAATAAATAAATGAAATTGTTTGCTATTAGCAGCGCATTTAAATGCCACCAAGAAAGTCGCCGGCGAAAGAGAAACACATGCTGCACAAACAAAAAATGAAAAAGAGCTGGGTAAAAATGTTGGACAGAATTTATGCGCGTTTTCTTTAATATTTCATTTTCAATTTAATTAATTGTAATATATGTGCGAGTGAGTACAAGTGCAATTGTGCCGTTGTGCCGTTGTGGCCACTGCAAATTGGCCAGCAACGTGATTCACGACTCACTTGGCAACCACCAATGCCACCGCCAGTGCAAAGGCAAACAATTGAAATTGTTATTAATAATTGCTTTGTTAATAACTTTAAACGCTGTTGGAGCGGCGTTTCTGTTGCTCTGTGCGTTTCGTCACTGGCCCAAAAAACAGACGGTTGCAAATTGCCATCGAACCAAAATACTTGTATATGAAAACAATCGTGAAAAGTGACTTGAGACTCACTCGATTGATAATTTGGCACAGCTGTCGTTAATTACTGATCGATTGCATTGATCGAGGTCTCAAGTGTGAAAAGGTAACCAAGGTGTAGCTTAATGATTTTGATCTAGTTTACAGCTCATTTGGACATTATATTTAAAGATAAGGAATAGAAAACTGGCAAGAAATTTGTATTATACATACATATTTATAAACAAAACCATCGTTTATTATAGCTACCTTTATAGTCACCTGTATCTTGTTGAACCGCCAGGCACCGAATTTATTTGTGCATTTCCCCTAAGCCTTTTTAATATTTTAGCCATAACGATAACACTTATAATAACAATGGCCATAACAATAACCATAGATTATGATGGGGCTGGCTACCTAATTGCGGACATCGGACATGGACATGGTTGTGGATGTGGATGTGGATGTGCAGGCAACGCATGGAAATTGCAATTTGCTTAGCTCAGTTGTACTTTATGGTTGCTGATGATGTTGCGAGTGTTGCTCGTGTTGCTCATGTTGCTAGTTGCAGTGCAGTGTTGCAGCTGCTTTTGTTCCGCTTGCACGCTGAATGGAGAGGCGATGGCGCCATCTTCATCATGATGGAGATGACGATGGTACCGATGATGGGGGGCAAGTTCATTGACTGCTTCTCCGCTTCTCTGGGCAATCGGAAGTGCACCATCGGCACAGGCTTAGGATGAGTTGGCACTTTTGCAGCTGCAGCCAATCAATAAGAGAGCAGCAGTTGCAGCAGCCGCAGTTGCAACAACAGCAGCAGCAGCTACAGTTATGTCTTGTGGCAAGTTGCTACACCTGATTCCAAGCCTCAATTCCCCATCTCGATCCCGATCTTTTGATGTCGTAACTAG